TGAGTGAGCGGCTCGCCGCTCGCCCTGGAGGTTTCGGATTCATCCTTTGTTGGGAACAGCAACCAGCGTGCTGCGTGCCAGCTTGATTCTCTCGGCTCTGTTGTGCTTATGGGAACCAGGCGGCTCCAGGCCTCATCTCCTCCAGAGACGAACTTTGTGGCTTGAACTCCTCTGCCGTGCGTGCGAAAGCCAGGCGGCTCCAGGCCCCATCCCTCTCCAGAGACGAACTTTTCAGCTTGAACTTGTCGGCTTCTACACGCCTGTGAGCCATTTACCTAAGATAAATCTCCCTCTCTCTCTCTTTCTCTCTCTATAAATATATATATACACTTTGCTGGTTTTTGTGTTTCTCTAGAGAACCCAATCCAATACAGAGCCCTCAGTTAGAAAACCTATTAATTCCAAAATGGTTCAGTTCTTTTTCGTCCAATTCACAGGATCAAAATCCAGCATTTGGAAGTTTATTCTCTGGTCAAAAGTGAAACATCTGACATTGTCAATGTAAATTTAATTGAAAATTCATCATTGAAGATAAAATGTTTTTTTGTAGTGCTAATATAAATACAAATTTTGGTAGAGCACAGTGTTATGGAAAAAAACAAATCTTGAATCAAGTCATTCAATGAATGTAGCATGAAAATTCAGCGTTTGAAGCTTTTAGAAAATTGGTGGTGTTGTTAGGTGCCATTGAGTCGGTTGCGACTCCCAGTGACCCTTTGTACAACAGAATGAAACGCCGCCAAAACCAAGTTTGCAAAGTGAAAGCCACTTATTTTTCTCTCTACAAAAGTCAGGGAGGAATTGAACCAATCAAAAGACGAGATCCTGAATGGTTTAATTACCTAATTTAAAAACTGTGCTTTGGAAAAATCTTGACCTTGAGCTCCTAATTTTTATCGCATCCATTTATATTTTCCATCAGAATAGCGTGAAATTGTGAAGGCTTGCGAGTTTGTGGCATCTACCCTTCCAGCAGTATTGAAAAGGTTCACAAAGAGGCAACTTAAAACTTGTAAAAGTATTTATTGAAGAAAGGTGCTTTGAATGGAGACCGAAAGACAGCACCTGTGCAAATGCTGGAGCTGAAATATTTGCAGGTTTTGAAATAAAAAGTAGGATTGAGGATAATCTGCACTTAGTAGAACTGGTTCTGACCCCACAGGTTCATCGGCACCAAGGGAAGGGGTATTTTTGCAATTAAAAATATTTTGGTCTATAGGTGTCAACAATTTCAAATATATTAACCATGAAGTACAGCTTTGAACAGCCACTCCTCGGAAGGAAGGTTGGGCAATCCTACTTCTGTAGTGATACTGCCTCGGAAACCCAAGGAGGGGTCGCTATGAATCGGGGCCGACTCGATGGCAAATAACAACAACAGCTTTGAAGATTAAAATTTTATGAAAATCATAAGACTACATTGAAAAAAAGAATAAAAA